TTGTAAACTTTTTCACCAATAACCATTTCAAAATCTTTAATTGTATAATTATTTAAAAATGAAAACGATGATTCATACCATATCACCTCAGATATAAATGCGTTAAAAATTGAAAGACTTGCTAAATTTTGTATAATTAAAGCCATCTTCATTTAAAATTTTAACTTCATCATAAAGTATGTTACGCTATTTTCTATTCTTCTCCTCATATAAATGCCAAATAATTGACATAATTATTAATTTAACTATATTTAATCTCGATGATGTTGTTATAATGAGATCATCATATAATTTTTCTAATGATATACCTAATTGAACATTCTTATCAACTATATTTTTAATTAAATTTTTTCCACAGAAATTATCAATCAAATCTCATGTCATTTCTTTAAAACTCTTACGTATTTGTGTGATATTATTTAAAATTCATCGTGATTCTTTTGTTATTGGTATATATAATAAATTACTATTTTTATATGTATAAACATCGTGAAATGCCTGATTTAAAATCCGTATAACAGATAAGCTTTTTAATTTATAATCTTTATCTAAAAAATCAATATAATATTTTGATATAATACTATAACTCCACATGAATTCACTAGTAACATTCTCAACATATTCATTTAATAATTCCAGTATATTTAAATTTAATTTTAATTTGTATTTTTTAATTAAACTAGTAACCTCTTGATAAGAAATTTGATATAATCTTTCAATATTATTATTAATCGAAGATATAAATATTTTTTTACGTAATTTAAAATATGAATCAGATGATATTGTGAAAGAAATAGAATTAGATTAAAATAAAATAAACGATGCAAAACTTTTTCTTTCTATATTAATTCTGTGTTGTCTATTTATTATTTCACAAGATTTCTTATTCATTCCGTAAAGTTGAATTGATAATCCTGATAAAACTGCGATAAAATCATGATCTTTATATATATGTTTTTTCACATCGTCAAATACCAAAACTTCAATTCCTTGTTTCTTATAAAAAAGATATAATGAAAAAATA